CCTACCTGCCATAAGAATCCAGAACTAAGTCCCATCAATTCCCCAACTAATTCATCCACTACATAAGCTAAAGACTGATCCTATTTTCACTATCAAGTATCAACTATTGGCAAGAGAATCTCAGCTTTCCAACATCATGTTTTTACAAGTTCTATAGCAAGTTTGACTAAGCTTTTAAAATCTGCTAATTTAGAGAAGTGCTTTTGTCAGAAGTGTTTTTCTAAAAAAATACTTTTGGTTCGAAAAAAGGTTTGCCCGGAGAGTAGTAGTTTGTGTTCAGATGATCAATTTGAAAAGCACTTTCGCCAATACTAGAGCAGAAGTTTCTGCTTCGCCAAGGTTCCAAAAGTGCTCTAGGGAAATAACTACTTTTTTTCAACTTCTGCTACAACTCAAAAGCACTTATTTTTTCCTAAAAGATGTCAAACACCTTTTAAAACAAACAAAAAACACTTTTAACTTTCCAGAAGCTTGGCCAAACAGGCACTACCATGTCATGATTTTTGTATTGTATAAGACTAGTAAAAGCATTTGGACTTGTAAAAAGCACTAGCAAAAGCATTTAACAAGTATATGAATACACCAACAATCGATCATATCAGTCTATGAAGCTAATTCTGAAGTAACTTCGCGCTAGTTTTGGTACATGATCAGAATTAGATCCAGAGAACTTCCGAAGAGTCATTCAAACCACCACGATCATGCAGTAAGGACCACATTTAATTAGGAGTCTTCAAGCCACTAATTCGTGTTCCTTTTACATTCCACTACCTTGCTAGCTTTGTATAAACTATAGTAGAGATTTCTCAAACAGCAAGTAATAACCATTATCATAACCTAGACAATCGAGCCTAAAAACTCACTATTTCCTGCTATGACAAAGCTTCTCTGGCGAAGTGGTTATGATTTGATTTTAAAGTGTGATATCTTAATTTACAAGATCCCAAATACATCTGAAGTCAGAACCATACTAATAGGCAGTAAACCAATATATAGACTTAAAATATGATGATACAGATATTGCAATAAATTAAGTTGCTAAAATCACTCCAACAGCTCACTAAACAACTGAAAAAGTAACCGATTATATGCAGGATTTGATCCTAAGACTAAAAACAAATGCACGAATCTGAACAGGCATGAAAGATTTAAAGAATCTGCGAGTGCCCAAGTAGCATGATTTCAAACACAATCTAACCTGAGAGAAGTTGACAATGACAGGAAGAATATGTGCAACACAATCCTGGGGGTCCTGCAACTTGCCTAGTGCAGCACAGCCCTCAACTGCTAGTAAGCGTACAGAATCTTGATCTGAAATCAAGACACAATAGAGTCACCACAAACACTCAAGTTGATATAACTATCGTATAGATATTAATTAGAAGAGCTGTAGGGCTATTTACTGCTACAAGTAGTGGGTACCAGACAAGTTGAACCATACATGTCTTAAACTGTGAATGACTAGACTGAATAGTTATAATCATACGGGGCAACTTATGAGTTAAAATATTACCATCCTGTGTAAGATCTTCAAACATTGTCATGATGTCAGTCTTGAGGTAAGCTGGTTCAATGGTAGCAGCAAACTTCCCCAAGTTTGCTGCAGCTGACCTTCTCACCATAGGCATGTCATCTTGAGACAACTGGCTATATATGGACCGGAGCTCTGCCTTTAACATCTCAGGGGAACTTGGGTAAGCAATGTGAAATAGTCCACAAGCAGAAACTCTAGCCGTGAACCACTCACCAGCTGCCAGCCTCTAGTGATTGTGAAAAAGGAAGACATAGGAACAAAATGTAAAAGGTTGATTTAAATACCGTATTTTGTGATTGGCTATGACAAAATATGACAGGATACAGATGAAGTTTTGGCGCACAATACTCTTTGAGTTTAAATGTTACTATGAATTTCCAGATTGCAAGGCACTAAATACTTGCAACTAAATGGTCTTTGTAAGTTTTTCTGACTATGATCTCTAAAGTCATTAATAATAGCATTCCTTAGAACAAGTGATGAGAGTTAAAATAAACAGTAAAAGTGTGGGGCAAACCTTCACAAGAGAGACAAACCTATCAATCAAATCACTCTCCCTCATCTGGGATCCAATTCTACACAATGACTCCACAGCTTTGTCCCTCACACAGATCTCCTCCACAGTGCAAAGGGTTCCCAGAAGAGGGAGTAACACATGAGCATGCTCCACTCCTCCAACATAAGGAATAAAACCGCCTAACTCTTCTGACATGGCAAGTAGCACCTCATCTTCGTCGTCAGTGTTTCTGCACAAAAATGGGATCAACTCCCTCCTGGTTCTGTCTTCACCAAGTTGACATGCAATAGAAGATAACCTCCTAATAGAATTCAACCTCAATTGAATGTCGTCATTCTTCAGCTCATCTAATACCATTGGGTACAACAGTAGATGCGCCATTGACATGTATATTGTGTTTCCCTTACAGCTGCAATTGGAAAGATATATGATTGAGAACTACTAAAAGAAAAATGAATCAATGGTGAAAGAAAGAAATTTGACCAGATTTTTCATAACTGTCATACGCTGTCTTGACTACTGAGAAATCACAAATCCATCTGACCAAGAATCCTTCTCCACCCCGCAGATGGAATGAAAAGATAAACACAATGCAAAAAGGAAAGAAAGAGGAATGAAGAGTAACAAACAGAGAGTAATTGCACAAGAGAGGAATACATTTCAAGAGAGTGGTTCGTATGGAGTTTGAATCTGAACGAGAGAATGATATAAAAGCTTTGGTTTTGTGGCCAAAAAGGAGCTTGTCCATATTTATAAACTCAAAATTTTAGTTCATAAGGGAAAGTCAAAGCTATACAGGTGTAAAAGAAGAGTTTTAATATCCCAGATTCCGATCCCTGCTACAATCTTCAGTGTAAGTTCAGCTTTCATGGAAGGTTTGCCTGGCAACTGTGCATGTGGGCTGTGGCAGGTAGCCCACTGGATTAATCAATAATAAGATAGGCAACAAACAAGTTGTTCCACACACCACCATCATTACTAAAAGGGAAAAGGGTCAGATTTGACCCGGTACTATCCGAAATCAAGCAACTTTTCCCTTGGTCACACTTAGAGTCTAATCTTACCCCTGACGTTCGGAAAAGTCTCAGTTTTTGCCCTCGACCCCTAATGCAGCTTCAACCTAAAGAACAATGGGGTAACTTTAGACCTTTCTTTTTATTGTTAAGGGGTATATTTAGACCTTCTCCCTCAAGTTATTTTGACACATGGAGTTCACCCATTGTAAGCTGGGGCTCCACAATTAGCCAGGCAAACATGATACATTTACTCAGGGCTAAGGTATGAGAGGACCCAAACCATAACAGAGGTTAAATTGAGCAATTTTGGAATAGTACATTTGGTAAACTTAAACCTTTTTCCTGCTAAAAAAAAAAAGTAACAAATCAAAATTTTAACATCTCACTTAAGAAACATCAAAGTCCATTCTGCAAGTTCTCTGAAAAATGAGATATTCATGATTGAATCTAAATATGATGATCTGACCTAAACGCTAGCATTTAATCAAAGAAGATATAAAGGAAGTAAAACAAACACCCTGGAGTTCAAATTGTTAAAGGAAAAAGTCCCTAAATACTAGAATGAGCTCAATTTCGTTTTCCAAAACTAAACAAATCAACTACGTTATCATTTTATTGCAAGAAAATTAACAAGTTCGATCACATTGTTTCAGTTCTAGCCAGCAAAAAATGATTTTGATTAACTTGTGGACAAGAGGCAGAAGAGAGGATTACCGGAAATGAGTCTCGCCGGCTGCCGGAGACTTAGAGCCTTTGATCTCCGGCGAATTCAAGAGAGGGGTTTTGTTGCCTTCGTTGATTTCAATGAAATGAAAAGTGTTTGGACTGAGCAGACAAAAACGATCAAATGGTGCTTAATGTACAAGAGTTGGATTTTGTTCCTTCTCATGTACAACAATCTAGAACATGTATATATATATATATATATATATATATATATATATTTCGAGCTTAAAATGTTTAAAAGCATTTTCGTATTTAATCTTAAAATGATAAAAATATTTTAAATAAGTTGATCTAAATAGTCTCTTAATTCAAATAATCCTTATTTAATATGGGTTAACTACACTTAACACTTGTATATCATGACTTAATTGTAGATAGAGTTTAATATTTTAAAATGTTTAAAAGCATTTTCGTATTTAATCTTAAAATGATAAAAATATTTTAAATAAGTTGATCTAAATAGTCTCTTAATTCAAATAATCCTTATTTAATATGGGTTAACTACACTTAACACTTGTATATCATGACTTAATTGTAGATAGAGTTTAATATTTTAAAATGTTTAAAAGCATTTTCGTATTTAATCTTAAAATTATAAAAATATTTTAAATAAGTTGATCTAAATAGTCTCTTAATTCAAATAATCTTTATTTAATATGGGTTAACTACACTTAACACTTGTATATCATGACTTAATTGTAGATAGAGTTTAATATTTTAAAAATCAAATTGTCATATTTGACTTCTATCTATATATATATAATAATAATAATAAATATATAAATAATATAATTTTGATTCAAAAGACAAAAAATATATTGATTATTGGTTGAATTTTTCATTGAAGATAGTATAAAAGTTAATCTTTCTAATCGTAATATAAAATTTATGTTCCTATACCGTTCATGAAGCATGTGAGTTGCTGGTTAAACTTAACAAATGTTCAGGAGGCCTCCGGTCCTTAAGTGTCTGAATTCAAGGAGATACGTTCAAGTTAAAGTGTCTATTTATGTATAATAGATTCTCAATATTAAAAAAGACAAGCAAAAGAGATGAGGGAAAAGAGAATTTGATGGTGAGTAAACAAGGATGGGTTTCATCTCAACATGAAAATTATAGGTATTAATTACATGAATTGAGTCATCAAAACAAAAAAACATTATGGTTGTATATCCGAGCCAACTTTCATGCACCTCAACTAATTCCACAGTATACCTATCACCTCCCACCGGCAATAGGTACCGTCCACCAAGGCTAGGATAGATGGAAAGAACTACCTAGTGTTTTTTGTCTCCGCTGGAAGCAAAATTAGCTAGTTTTCATCTTCAACATCCAAGCAAAGGCAGTAAGCAACTAAGCCAACAACTGGAACATATCTGAGATATCTCACCATTCCAACCTTATCTTCCTGGATGTTTTGCAAGTTATCTCCTATCAACCAAGGTTGGAAAATAATGTAGAGACAAATATCCCAGATGAAGGCATAAGCAAGTCTTTCAGAGGATAGATAGCTGAGCAAGAACTCCCATCTATCAGATATACTCCCAAAATCACCATCTCCTCTCCCATAAAAGGCCCAAAATGTCGAAAGCAAACAGGCAGCTCCACCGACTAGTCCAACAACAGATGCACCACGAGTCATGATCGAACCAAGTTGAGAGGTTGCTCTTGGAGGGTACTCTGAGTCACTCTTATTTAGTCGAAAAGCCATGTATGGAATTAAAAATGCTGCATCGAATTCCAAAAAGCTCATTAATAAGTCTCTTGTCAAACCAAAAACTATTTACAGTAAAGGATGGAGTTATGCTTGAGAGAGCCAGAAATCGAAACCAGCAAAAGAAAAAAGAAGATCCAATAACAATGGACAAAAAAATAAGTGGCAGAATAACTCGAATAAGAGAAGCTTTAGAAAAAGTAAATGCAAATAGTTAAAAGTTGTGCCATCTTAACCACCTGATTCTTTCTCATTCAGTGCTAGCTCCTAGTCACTAATAGAGTGTTCATGTCAGCTACCAAGCAATTCTAATCGAAGCAACTCCAGTATAATCAGGAAATCATTAATATACGGATACCGTTTGCCATCCTATTTTTTGACAGGACACTCACTGAGAGTTCCATCGGGATGGGGGACACTAGCATCCATAACGTTGCACAATCAAAAGTAAGTATTTGAGAAAAGTGCATACTGTTTGTGAGGAACATTTGAAATCCCCATAGAAGATCTAGTGATCCCTTGAATCTGTCTCTCTTATGATCACTGAACAGTAAAGGAGCAAACATGAACGTCCAGCCAATTACAAAATTAAACAGTCCTTCAGACATCTGGAATAAAAATCAGAGCCGAATGTCAAAAATGAGATCCACGCAACGAATAAATTTGTATTTTACAAAGTACTTACTGGATGAAGCACTGGTGCCTCTATCAAGTGGATGCCCCCTACTCAGCCAAATGATTCGTTGTTTAAAGTTCAATATCAAATTTATGGTAAGAGACAGATGGAAAATTGAAATGAAACCTCTGAACTGAACGTATATAAGTAAGTAACTGCTTAATCAGCAAAATTTTATGCATCTAAAGCAAGTGTCAAGTTGACACACGGTGGAAAATCATAAATTCAACATTGCCAATGTATGGAGAAAGGGTCCTTGAGCTTGAAGTCATGTCTCTATACTAGAAGAAGAATGGTATGCATATTAAATTTTGACTGGCACAAGCAAACAAATTAAAAAGATGTGAAAGTTGAAATAGAACACCCGATTAAATCGACCTTTGAAAGAACAAACAATTATGGTGGAGGGCCAAGACACAGTCATTGTTTAACAATCAAACATTTCTGGTTAGGATATGTTTCAATATTGAGAAATGTGGATGATAAAATAGGTTTATTATTGACTAAACCAGAGGAAGTTGAGCAGTTAATCAGAGTTAGAAATTACACCAGCAAATATAAAGAAAATTATCCTCCCTCCATTTCAGTTTGCTTGTACTATTTTAACTTGGCACGGACTTTAAGAAAGTTAAGAAGAATTTTGAATCTTGTGGTCTAAAATTAAAGATACATCAAATGTACCAAAAAAAAATTTAATCTCGTGGTTTAAAACATATCATGTGGAAAGTTGGAACTAAAGAGTGTTTAAAAAGGAAAGAGATATTCTTTTTGAAACGCACTAAAAAGAAAAGTAGGACAAACAAATTGAAATGGATGGAGTATATGTTCAAGAATGAAGCTAATTGACTATAAGTCATTAATATCAAAAGCAAAAAGCCCAAAAAAGCTCTAAATACTGTTGGGGTAAGCACAAAGCACAAACAAAGTATGGGCTTTAATGAAAAAAAGCACTAGGCAAAAAGAAATACAAAAATATATATTAGCCCAAGACTAATAATTAAAAGCGCGCATGAATGACAAATATATGAACAAAAAATTGATTTTTTTAATGATAAAGTGAAATATCAATGGTTTAGTGTCGCCTCTTCTGACGAAGCAAGAGGCTCATTGACAAGGAACAATATGTCTTAGAACCTTGATGACGACACTGAGCCACACATTAAGCGAGGTGAAGCGCTCAACACGTTTTGAGTCTCGCTTCAGGGATTAAGCGCACCTTTGACAACACTGCTATGAGTGCCAAATTATGCCGCCCATTGCTAAAAAGGAAGCAACAAAATTATCATACATTGAGCAGAAAGGAGTGCAGGCTAATTAGTAAAATTTTTGTGTAAGACTAATCTGGTATAACTAAAGAGATTTCAACATACCAGCATTCAAGAGAGGCAGGATGAAGAAGAAATTGAGGGAGAGACCAACCAAATCATTTACTGTTTCTGAACTAATTGCCCACACAGGATCTCCCTGCATTATATATCAAAATATTTTCAATGGTTAGATATCCGCGTGTCAGCCTAAATACCTTTTATTCATTTTTTTCATTATAAACCACACATATTGATGTCACACTTAACTTCGAAAATTAGTCGATTTGACTCTCGAAAACAAGCTAAATATGACAATTATTTCGAAACGGAAGAAATACTGTAATATGAAATGGGAGAGATGAATTACATACAGGTGCATAAGGAAGTAAAAAGAGCCACAATACATAAACGCCTTCTGCGGTCCACAGTATAGCCTGTGTTAATTTCCTCAATTTATCATCTCTTTCAATAATTGAATCCACTCCTCCGCCACCGCCACCGCCGCCGCCAGCTCTAGTGGTAAACACCGGTCTACGGCGACCTAATTGTATACTTTTCTTCACTTTAAGCTTTAACCCTAACAGTGCACTTGTCTCGGACAATTTCACATTTCGTCCAAATGCCGAATTATACTCCTGTCTGCCATGGATAACAGATTGATTTCCGTATATGAAAGTCTTAGTGCATAGTAGAGTTGCCGCCGGCATTTCCGAAGTTCGCCGGAAAATGGCTTCTGTAAAATGTTCTGGACCGGATTTGCTAAGTGAAGTGAGATAAAACTTTCCGTTCTAGAGGATGCAGAGGTGGGCCCGTAGGACACGTGGTACATAACTGCACACGTAGATACCTTTATATTTAATATGTATTTCCGTAAATTAGTGGTATTTCATATTAATTGTGTCTTCTCCATTCCACCCATCCATCTTATGAGAGTCAAACAGTTTATGTTTGATTAGAAATTTGCATATGAAATCTTTAAATTTTTTGAAATAAATTTATATATTTGTAAATTATGTAAAAAGTAATATAAGTTACAATAATTAACTATTCAAAATAATTAAAAAACATATGATAAATTTACGATTAAAAATAGACTTATTTGAACCTCGAAATTCGAAAAGTATCACATAAATTGAGACGGAAAAAATATTTTTTATTTAGATTATATAAAAATATTTTTATAATAATATTTTTTTTCTTATATATCGAACACAAAAATAAAAGACCCACATATTTTCTTAAAAAAATATAATTATGAAAATATTTTCTTTCATATCTAACCCATCCTACGTACCATAGGTGAGCCAAATCCTAAAAAAAATTACTCTAATTAATTGATGTCCCACTTAAATTATAGCACATGTCAATCTAATAAATTTGATCCTCTTGATATTGAATAGGCACATGTTAAAATTTCAAATTTCGTGAATAGAGAAATTAGGTACTTGAGGAGTTGAGGTTGTCAGCCAAATCACAATCGTTGGTGGGAAGGATAATATCAATTAGTAGTGGGATTAAATTATAGTATCACTTAATTTGTTGTTTGGGTGGTAAGTTCGGAATAAAGTATTTCGGGATTAAAAATTAGTATCGGGATAAGTTATTTCTCCCCTTGGGTGGTATAATAATCTCGGGATAAAATAAATAAATGACAAAAATGTCTCTTTAAACCCTTTTTATACATCACTTTTTACATTCATGAAGGGCATTTTTGTAAATAAATAAATTATTCTTAAAATTTATTATTTTAAATACAACAAACCAAACACTCAATAAAAAATAATCTTATCATAACTTATCCCATCATAACTTATTTCATCATAACTTGAATTCAAACTAAACGGCTTTAAGTTTAATAAATTGAGTGTTCACTTATAAAAGACTACAAGTTCTCAATATTTTTTCACCATTTTCTTTTCACAACTTATAATTGTCATTATGAGAAGAAAGAAATATGGGTCTAAAAGGTAAGTTAATTACTTCAATAGAAGTGAAATGTGAAGGACACTCGATTCATGATATTCTTCATACCATTATGCATCATGTACCACTATAAGTCGTTCTATCAACCAATTTGAGATTCATGAAGATGATATCGTAAAAATTGGTTCGATTATTAGCTGAAATTATGACGACGGACGGTAATGCACATTTTTCAAATCCTTCTCTCTCACACTCACAATATGATGTTTGATTACCATGCATATATATTCCAAGGGAAGCCTTTTGCTTCAAGAAATCTTAATTTAAATTATCTTTATTTTAAAATTTATTTCATCTGCTCCAACTAACACTAAGACAATATTTATTACTCATAATATTTAGTTACTCAATATTCGTCAAATTAAAATATTCTATGATTTCTTAATATTATTATTAGTCTTTAATAGTGTATGCTTTAGAAGATATACCACCAATTAAATACTATAAAAAAAAAATTACAGAAAAAGACTTTTTTCCGTAGAATATTACTTTTTTTTACCAAACATAAATAATTAAATCAAAACTATATTTTTTCTTAATAATTCTTATATTCTCCAGACCTCCACAATGTCAGCTCTTCTTTTTCGAGATTTTTTAAGATAAATGCATAAGTACCCCAACCTATGCCCGAAATCTCAGAGACACACTTATACTATAATAAGGTTCTATTACTCTCCGAACTTATTTTATAAATAATTGTTTATCCCTTTTCGGCCTACGTGACACTATCTTGTGGGCCCAGCGCATGTTGAAAATTTTTTCAAGGATAGTGCCACGTAGGCCGAAAAGGAGTAGAAAATTATTTATAAAATAAGTTCGGAGGATAATAGGACCTTAGTATAGTATAAGTATGTCTCTAGGATTTCGGGCATAGGTTAGGGATACTTATGCATGTTCCCTAATTTAATTCATAAAAAGATAGAAAATTCAAATATTAATGAGCTTTAAATAATTTTTGAAGCAAATGAGAATGAAAAACGAGGAAAAATTTTAAATAAGATAAAATATTATTTTGTAAATATTTAAGTCTTTCAAGAGGAATTGAGTTGTTGACCTAAGAGTAACATCTCTTGTATTTTTTATTATATAATGATTATAGGCGGACAAAAAAAAATTCCAAACAAATTATTGAAGCCATCGATCCTCACAAGAAATTAATCCGTTGGAAATTCATTGAAGGAGATGTGTTGGAGATGTATAGTTCTTTTACTATTATAACATCTTGTGAACCTCAGTGGATTACATGGACAATTGAGTACAAAAAGAAAACTGAAGACACCCCAGAACCCCTCAATGAATTGGGTCTTATACTTAACTTGAACAAGGATATAGAGGGTCACTTCTCAAGAATTTATATATATATATATATATATATATATATGTGTGTGTGTGTGTGTGTTTGTATGATGAATAACTGGCAATATTAATAAGTTTTAGCTATCGTGTGAAATAAATAATATTGTGTTTGAAATATACTGTATATGTCAATCTCTTTCTATGGATATATTTTCAATGGTCAGTAGTATATGTAAGATATTGCACTTTGTTATAATAATCAAAGCCCACTTTTATTATTTTTAAAAGCTTCAATTTATGTTTGATACCTTGTATTAGTCAACAATGCACCATTTGGAATTTCTTAGAGAAAATAAAGTCTGCAACAATTGAGATACTGGTGTGTTTGATATGGAGGGAAAAAATTGAAAAATATTATCACTAAGAAAGTAAGTTCGTTAAAAATAAATAAAATGGCTTTTTTAATGAAAGTATAGAAAATAAATTAAAGTCTGCAAGTGACATTTCACATTGATTGTTTCTTCTCCACCCTCTAACACATCTGTTGGAAGGTATGCGTCCACCAGTGATCACAGGATCAGGTCCCCAGACAGAATAAAAGTGCCAAAAATAAATAACTCAAAGTAAAACAGGCACAAGTGTTTTTACGTGGAAACCTCATTGCTCAAGGGAGTAAAACCACGACCTGTCACACAGGGTTTTCAACTGCTTTCACTAATCACAAGCAAAAGTGAATACAAATTTCAACTTACAACAATGAGACTAAACTCATAATCTCACACTAAGTAATACTCCTATTACTTATTGAGCCAAAGCAATGCATTCATTGCCCACTATATTAACTAACATTAATTAATATAGACTTCAAACCGTAAGACACAAAGTTAACTCTAACAATGTTCTTACACTCACTACACATAAGAGTTTGAAACGGTTCTTATAAGAGTGAAACGAATCCTACAAGTTTAGCACAGTACAAGCATTCAAAACAACAACACGCTCAGATTACACTTCTTCAGTTGATCAGGTGATCCCTTGTTGTATCTGTATTTTGAAGCTTGGTTTCTTGGAAAGACTCACTCGCTCACTTTGAATGAATGAATCATAAAATTGTTTGTTTCTTTGAATATATCAATTAAGAAGAATTGTTGATCAATGAACAAACAATCTCGTCCGCTCCTATTGGTGAAGTACATTGACTTGCTTCACCAACCGCCTGACCTGACAGCTTTACAATTGTGCCCCTTTCTTAATCTGGACGATACTAACTCTGTCAGGGACCTGCTCCCGACATTTATGAAGATCATCAAAACATCTTAAATACAACAACACCTCATCTTTATCCCACCACTTGTAGTCCTCATCTCCACCACGTTATTTGTCTAGATTATATACAGACATTTTATGATAATATTTTTTGTTTATTACCAAACACAAATAAGTAAGAGATCCACTTATTTCCTAAAAAAAACTTGTATGAAAATATTTTTCATCTTACCTAACACAACTTAGGTACTGAAGGTGAACCAAATCCTAAGAAAAATAATTAATTGAGTGTCCACTAATTATAGCACATGTCAATCTAATAAATCTGATCCTCTTGATTATTGAATAGGCACATGTTAAAATTTCAAATTTGGGAAAATGGAGAAATTAGGTACTTGAGGTGATCAGCCAAATCCTAAAAGTTTAATATATTAAGTGTTCACTTATAAAGTATTAGTTCTCAATATTTTTTCACCATTTTCTTTTCACCACTTATAACTGTCATTCTGATAAAAAAGAAATATGGGCCTAAAAGGTAAGTTAATTGCTTCAATAGAAGTAAAGTGTGGAGGACACTTGATTCATGATATTTTTCACACCAATGCGCATCATGTACCCACTATAAGTCGTGCTTTCAATCGATTTGAGATTCATGAAGGTGAAATCATAAAAATTGGTTCAATTATTAGCTGGAATTATAATGACGGTAACACACATTTTTCAACTCTTTCTCTCCCGATCTCTATCAGTCACACAATATGATTTACTTGCATCAATTTTCTATATTTAGATGAATTTGGTAATATAAAACTTATTTTTCACGAAAATGATTTTGATGAAAAAGTTATTTAATGATGTTCAACTACAATTTATATTCAAAGGAATGTCTTTTGCTTTAAGAAAGGAAAAGAACTTCTTTCACTTGTGTGGGAAGTAATATCTTCGTTTTAAAATTTTATTTTATTCTGCTCCAACTAACACTGAGACATTATATATTAATATTTAGTTATTTAAAAGGTTCTTCAAGTTAAAATATTCTATGATTTCTTAATATTATTATTAGTCTTTAATACTGTATGTTTTAGGTAATATCATTCCACCAATCAAATACTAAAAGATATATTTTACAGAAAAAGACTTTTTCCGTGGAATATTACTTTTGTTATACCAAACATAAATAATAAAATCAAAATTATAATTTTCCCTAATAATTCTCATATCCTCAACAATGTTAGCACTTCTTTTTCGAGATTTTTAAAGATAACTCCATTCATGAAAAGTAGAAAATTCAAATATTCATGAGCATTAAATAATTTTTGAAGAAAATGAGAATGAAAAAGGAGGAAAAAATTTAAATAAGATAAAAATGTTATTTTGTAAATGTTTAAGTCTTTCATGAGGATTAGAGCAATTGAACCAAGAGTAACACATCTCTCGTATATTTTTATTATATAATGATTATAGGTGGACAAAACAAGTTTACAAAGCAAATTATTGAAGACATCGATCCTCATAAGAAATCAATCCGTTGGAAAATCATTGGAGGAGATGTGTTGGAGATGTATAATTCTTTTACTATTGCAGTAGCTTGTGAACCTCAATGGGTAACATGGACAATTGAGTATGAAAAGAAAACCGAAGACACTTCAGAACCCCTCATTGAATTGGGTATTATCCTCGACTTAAACAAGGATATAGAGGGTCACCTTGTCAAGAATTAAAAGCTCTATCTATCTTTTGTGTGTGTGTTTACACACATACATATCTATGTGTGTTTATATGATGAATAATTGACAATATTGGCAGGTTTTAGCCGTCGTGTAAAATAAATAATATTGTGTTTGAATAATATATTTTATAACAACTCATAAATAACTTCGAAACACAATAAAAATTACACCTATTTTTCTTCTTCTTTTTTTGGTAATTCCTCAATAATACTTCCATGATCCATCTATATATATTTTAGCAAATAAAAAATTCACTCTCAATATACCATTTATTCAACACTACCAAAAATAAATAAAATTAAAATTACCTTATAACTAATCTAATTCTATAAATATTTTTTACACTCTCTGTACAAATATAAAATATCCCATATTCCTCCTATATATAATTTTAAAAAAATACTTACATGCACAACTCCTCCAACATACACAATTCAATAGTCTTCTTTGTTACCGTCTCGAGTCTTAAATCCTGAACCCTGATCGTTCTCCAGCTATGATCGACCTAGTTTTGCTTTTATTAAGTCGCGGGTTCTGTTTGTTTATTTTATTTTTTATTATTGTGAAATGGATTTTTGCACCATCACCAGCAGCTGCAGCAATAGGTTCAACTACAAGTTCAATGCCAATAATTTTTTTAGGTGTAATTATTATTGTTCTTGTGACTTTTTGGTGCTAAAATTAATGATAATTATGTTAATTATAACTTCTTTGGTAATAATCAGATTGTTTTTGAGATGTTATAGAAGAAGTTAGGTTTTTTTTTTTTTTTACAAAAAGAATTGTTTAGTTAATTAATTATCTGCATGCATGCAGACTATACCTAGTATTATTGTTGGAATATTTCTATAAGTTTTTTTCTATGAAATAAACTTTATTTCTTTTTTGGTATATAGTTAATGCACTTCATGTTGTTATGTTTATTTATATTGTTTGATTATGTGGATATGTTTTTTTGTTGCATAAATATTTACTAGCATTTAGGTACCCAAGTTATTATATTGCCCAATCGATGCGGATTTAATTTAGCACACATAACATATGAGTTCACGTTCAACCGATGAAGATTTAATTTAGCACGTACACTGTTATATGAGTTCACGTGAGTTTAGTAATATTTACTCAAAAGTTATAAAGAATAAGAAATTTAAATAATATTTATAATATTTGAATATGAATTGAGTTATTACTGTATATATTAACATGAGATTGTCTTAAAATCAATAATACCAGTTGAGATTTCTTAGCATGGTTTGAATTGAGAATCCAAAGTCTCGAATATCTTCTAGTACATCATTTTGAAACTATATAAAAATGCATATTTTAACTCACTAAATTCAGGTATTCATCACAATTGCAGTACAGAGTAATATAAAAATGCATACCCTTTGAATAATCAATTACTTGGCACATAGTAATGCTAAGGGTGATATAGTAAATTTATCCTTCTATTTATAGTTTTTTAAGAGGTGTGTCAAGTTAATAGTGGATAACTATTGTTGGACAGAAGGAGTAATTAATATCTAGAGTCTCCACTTCCATACCTTTTTTAAAAAAAATAAAATTACTTCCATACCTATTATGATATTTCTATTGAAACATTAATTCCAATATCTTAAGTAATAAATCCCAAGATAATCCAACGAGTTAGAGTAAGAAATCATAAGTTATATCATATACATTCCCTCTCTTATATTTTAGATTTCTTTTGTTATATGAATACTTATATAATCTTCTAATATAATCTATTCTTAAATCTCAATTTGATTAATATCTTTTTACTTGTGCATTTATACATGTAATGACCCAATATCTTCTAATTTAATGATAATGACCCAATATTTTCTAATATAATGACTCATGTGTAAAACACGTGTCAATCAAATAAATATGATCCTCTTGATTATTGAATAGACACATGTTAAAATTTCAAGGCTAGGAAAATGGAGAATTTTTGGTATTTTAGGTGAGCCAAATTCTAAAAGTGTAATAAATTGAGTGTCCACATATACATTTTCCCTATCTTCATCGTTTTTTAATTTGCATGAGTATGCAAAATTTCATTGTAAAAGATAAATTTTGAAATTTATAACTAAAATAAAATCTAATTAAACACAAATAAATTAACACTGTTGGTAAATATGTTGTACAAATAGTGGTAATGTTTTATACTAGCTAGCTTCTCACATCTAATTGAAATCTATATAAATACTACAAATTCTCAAACATTTTTTCACCACTTTATATTCACAACTTATAATTGCTATTTTGAGAAGAAGAAAATATGGGTTTGAAAGGAAAGTTAACTGCTGCAATGGAGGCAAAGTGTGGAGGACACTCAATTCATGATATAATTCACACTAATACACATCATGTATCAACTATTAGTCCTCTTATCAACCAATTTGAGATCCATGAAGGTGAAACCATAAAGATTGGTTCGGTTGTAAGCTGGCATTATAATGATGGTAACATATATTTTTCTATGTTCTCTCACACACAATCAATCAAATATGATTTACTGGCATCAATTTTCTATATTTACGTGTATTTGGTAGTATAAAAGTTATTTTTCATGAAAATGATATTCATAAAAAAATTATTTAATGATGTTTGATTACCACATATATTCCACAGAATGCCTTTTGCTTCAACCAAAGAAAATAATTTCTTTCACTTGTTGGGGATAGAATTTTTTTAAAATTTAAATTACCTTAACTTTAAAATTAATTATTTGCTCCAACTAACACTTAGACATTATTTACTAATATTTAGTTACTTTAAAGATTTGTCAAATTAAGTTATTATTATTAGTAGTAGTAGTAGTAGTTAAAAGTGTGTAAGTTTTAGGTAATATATGATTTCACCAATCAAATACTAAAATTGTTTTTGTACAAAAATCTCTTTTTTTTCGCGAAAATATTACTTTTGTTATACCAAACATAAATAATTAAATCAAAATTATAATTTTCTTTCTAATTTTCATATTCTCCATAATGTCAACTCTTCTTTTGAGATTTTGAAATATAGCTTTATTCCCAAAAAATAGACCATCCAATATTCATGAGCATTAAAGAATTTTTGGAGAAAATAGAAGTGGAAAACTAGGGAAAAAATCAAATAATATAAAGATATTATTTTGTAATTCTTTAAGTCTATCCTGAGGAATTAAGGCGTTGAACTAAGAGTAACTTCTCTTATATTATTTTAATGATTACAGCTGGACAGAAAAAGATTATGAAGCAAATTATTGAAGCCATCGATCCACATAAGAAATCAAGTTGTTGGAAAGTTATTGAAGGAGACGTGTTGGAGATGTATAGTTCTTTTACGTATTTAATATCTTTTGAACCCCAGTGGTCAATGTTGACAATTGAGTACGAAAAAAAAACATAAGACACCTCCGAGCCCCTGACTGAATTGGGTATTTCTATTGACATGATTAAGGATATAGAGAGTCACCTTTTCAAAAATTAGGGATATATATAAAGTTTGTTGTGTGTGTGTCTTTACACATACGTAATCTATGTGTGTTTGTGTTTGTATGATGAATAATTGGCAAGTTTTAGCCATTCGTGTAAAATAAATATTATTGTATGTGTTTGAATAACATATTTTATATGTTAATCCATATCTATGGATATATGTATGTGTAAGATATTACGTACTTAGTTAAAATAATTCAAGCTCTCTTTTATTTTTAAAGCTTCAAATTATGTTTTGAGAACTTGTATTAGTCAACAATACCATTTGAGATTTCTTAGCATGGCAAGTAATTGATTATTTATTACATTGTCGAAGATTTGCTTTGTGAGAATAAATCAGTATGTTGGCAAGTAGGGATGTCAATGAATCTTTAAAAACAGACTAAGTCAAACCTATTATTAGGTTTTTATACAAATTTAGTTACTTCCTCCGGGTTTTTTTTATATGTCATCCTTACTATAAATAGTTGATCCATATTACTTGTCATTTCAAAAAATCAATGCATAAATTATAATTTTCTTCCTATTTTATCCTTGTGAGTTATTAGCCTTGAAAATATACATTTGACCAACATTGAAAAACTAAGAAAATAACTCATGTCCATTAATCAAAATAAACTAATTCATATTCATTGGTTGAAAACTTGATTTAAAAAAAATAAAATTAATAAGGGTAGAATAGTAAACTTACTTAATTTTATGCACATGAAAATTAAAATGATGACATATAAATAGGGACGGATGGAGTATATTAAAATAATTAGGGTCGATTCATAATTTTACAAAAATAAATCAGAAAATATGAAACCGTATCGAATTATTTCTATTTAAAAATATGTCATTTACAATAAGTCTAAAAATAACAAACTATTATTCTCTTTTCTTGGCCTTGGAAGTTGGAATTATATATGGAAACACCTACAAGCCAACAAGTAACTACTAATATACAAAGTCTTCACTTTCATATTTTATTATGTTAATCCAATTGAAACTAAATTAGATCCAACATCTTAAGTAATAAATCCCAAAATATTTCAGCATCTTTAGTAAGAAGCCATAAGTTATCATATATATTTTCTCTGTTATTATTAAGATTTCTTTTGGTGGATACATAATCTTCTTATATAATTTACTTTAAAGTTCAATTTGATTAATATCTTTTCACTTGTGCATTTAATTTATACATGTAAAGACCCAATATCTTCTAATTTAATGATAATGACTCAATATTTTCCAATATAATGAATGTGTGTAAAACACGTTTACTAAACTAGTCTATATTATATTAAAAACATGTAGGTTTTTAGAAAATGTTAGATTGAATTTTTTAACCCTTCATTAAAAGACTTCTGCAGTAAATGAAAATGTCATTTAATATTCCTCAAATTAATTAATTATTTTTATAATATGCCTAAAATATGATTGAGCACGAAAAGAAAGTAGAAGACACCTCAAAACCTCTCCTTGAATTGGTATTAACAGAAGACATTTTTGTTCAATTTAACATAGTTTAAGGACATTTTGACTTATCTACGTTTAACAAGTGACATTTCATATTGATTGTATCTTCTTTACCCTCTAACACGCTCATCTTCACCCCCACCACTCGTAGCCTCCATTCCCATCTCTCATATTATTTGTCTAGGTTATATATATATATACTTGAAGAATAATATTTTTTTACGTATATACAGAATATAAAAAAAATAAGTAAAAAAATTATTTATTTTCCAAAACAAAAACAATTTCTAAGAAAATATATGTTTTCATACCTACAAATCATGGGTATCGAAGGTGAGACAAATCTTTTTTAAAAAAAATTAAGTGACCACTTAAAACATAACACGTGTCAATCAAATAAATTTGATCCTCTTGATTATTGAAGCATGTTAAAATTTCAAGGTTAGGAAAATGGAGAATTTTGGTATTTGAGGTGAGCCAAGTCTCAAAAGTGTAATAAATTTGAGTGTGTCCACTTATTTATATCTACTAAGCTAAAATTTAATCAAACACAAAAAACTTAATATTGTTAGTAATATACGATGCAGATATGTGATGGATAATGTTTTCTATATAAAGACTACAAGTTCTAAACATTTTCTTACAATTTTCTTTTCACAACTTATAATTGTTAATTCAAGAAGAAGTTAAATATGGATGTGAGACGAAAGTTGATCGCTTCAATGGAGGGAAAGTGTGGAGAACACTCAATTTTTGATATCTTGCATATCAATATACATCATATACCCATTATAAGTCGTGTTATCAACCAATTTGAAATTCATGGAGGTGAAATCGTAAAGATTAATTTGATTGTTAGCTTGAATATTAACGAGGATACCACACTCTCTCTTTCTCTTTCTCTCTCAATCAATCAATATGATTTACTGGCGTCAATATATTTATGTGTATTTGGTAGCATAAAAAGTTGTTTTTCACCAAAAATAATCTTCATAAAAAGTTATTTAATGGTGTTTGATTACCATATATATTCGGTATAATACATAAATGTGTCCTTCAACTTGGCTTTAGTTGACATCTATACCCTCCAACTTTGAGTGTGTACAAGTAGACAATTACACTTGTATGAAATTGAACAAATTGACACGTTTGTCTTATGTGACGTCCTACATGACATCCTACATGTATTATGTCACGTCGAACATGTGTGTCTATTTGTTCAATTTTGTAGTAGAAGTTTAAGTGTCTACATGTACATATCCAAAATTGGAGAGTATAAATGTCAGCTAAAACAAAATTAAAAGACACATTCATGTGTTATGCTTATACATTCCAAGGAAAGGAAAATAACTACTTTAACTAGAGGGGGGAAGTAATTTCTAAATTGAAATTATCTTAATTAACTTTAAATTTTATTTTTATTTGCTCCAACTATCATTGAGACGTGAATCGTGATTTACTAGTAATATTTATTACTTAGAAGATTTGTCAAATCAAAATATTCTATGATTTGTTAATATTATTATTTATCTTTAATAGTGTATGTTTTAGGTGATTTATCATTCCACCAATCAAATACTAAAAAATATTGTACAGAAAAATGTTTTCCCATGGATTATTATATCAATCATAATTATAGTTTTCTTTACTAATTTTCATATTCTCCATAATGTTAGCTATTCTTTTGAGATTCTTAAAGATAACATCACTTGTCCATTCACGAAAAGTAAACAATTCAATAGTTTTTGGAGAAGATGAGAATGAAAACAAGGAAATACATTAAATAAGACAAATATGTTATTTTGTAAATGTTTGAATCTTTCGTGAGAAATTGAGCAGTTGAATTAAGAATAACATCTCTTGTTTTTTAAATTTTAATTATTGCACAAAAAAGTATTATGAAACTAATTATTGAAGCCATCGATCCTCACAAGAAATCAATCCAAGAAGATGTGTTTGAGATGTATAATTCTTTTACTATAGTGACATCTTGTCTTCGGTGGGCTACATAGATAATAGATTACGAAAAGAAAACTGAAGACACCTCAGAGCTCCTCATTGGATAAAGTCTTATCCTTGACACGAACAATGATTTAGAGGATCACCATTTCAAGAATTAAAAGATCTATGTTATATACATATATACACCATAGGTCTTTTAATTCTTGAAAAGGTGACCCTCTAATACATGTTTCAAGTTACAACCAAACGGTGAATATATGTTGTAGTAATTATATACCATGATTATTTTCCTTATAGATCGCATACCAAACGACCCCTAAGTATGACATCACAATTTTCTCTCTCGGTATGCCCAAGAGTCTAAAACAGAGTTTAAACTATTAACTAGTGCAGCTTCATTTCACTGCTTATAGTTCCAGTCATTTGTATTTTCAGTCTCTTCCATATCTTAGTTAATTTCGGAAGAGATCGAAACACACACACACAGGAGATGGTGATCATCAAGCAACAAAAACCAGAATTGAAAATGGAAATGCATGCAAATACCAATAGATTTGGACTGTCCACATTGAAAAGGTTATATCTGGGTGAAACATTCGAGTTTCAACGAAGGGAAGAATTTTCTTTTTTGGGGGGTTGGGGGTAGAGGGGGGAGGAATTGACAAACTATGTATAAAGACAATCCTAATGGGGTCCAAGCCGATGCTGGGAGAAGAGAAAAAAAAAGGATAACTAGTTACGTTTTTCCAGTTCACCCCTCTCCAGCACTCAAATAGCTTATAGAACCCACACCATATATGGAACTGATGTTTGTGGTGGGGCAAAGAGAGGGTGGCAAGGGAAGCTACACAAAAGAGCCATCCCAACCCCCATTTCACTCTTCAAACTCGTGCATGTGATCTAAGAGGTAGTTAGCAGCGAGCTCCTCATTTTTGTTGCAGGCAAAGAAAACCTCCAGTACAAGGTCATGATCAAAGCCCATTTGTTCGAGCTGCAAAGAGAGGGGAAAGCAATACAAATCAGTCCTAAAATAAAGGAACGACAGCATATAGATACGAAATACACCACCAACATGTCAGTGATCACTTACACGCTCTATGGCTTCACGCTCTTCGGGTGTTACAGATATCGCCTGTGGCATTGCTGCTGCAAGCTGGCCCAATACGTTGTTGCTGATATTAAAATAGGGAAACACGAATTAGTACTAAACATAACCTTGTATCAAAGTCATTGAATGTAGCAGAGTGAACATACCCTTCTCCTCCTTCAACAGGCTCATTGATAAGGCGAAGAAAATCAGCCTGGTGCTCCTGTATAAGCCTCATTAGGTGGGGATTCTGCTTGCCTAGCTCCTGAAGCATGGGCTGCCAACAATGGAAACAATGAAAAGAGAACCTACACAATATTTTTTACAAATGGTCCAAACTAGAGAGGAACTGAGAAGTGAAACCTGCAAAATTTGTGGATTGGCCTGAACCATTGCCCGTAAAGCTTGGAACTGAGAATGACAATAATTAAGATGAACTTCACTAAAATGAACTTTCCGGAATGAAATAGAGGAAGGAAAATGCAGGTAGTGAAGGTCAGGAAATGTCACACACATACCTGCTGACTGTTCCTTAGAAAGTCTAAGGTGTTCGCACCAGCAGTATTAGATCCCACACTGGGAAGCCCCTGCGTGAACAGCATGTCAAAAGCTTGCCCCGAAATAATTTGCCCCACCCCTCCCCCTCAAAAGAAGGGAACAAAAACATGAATTAAACAGTCTACCTGAGGAAAGAGATTCAAGGGATCTGCATTGGGTCCGCCTGCAGGAACAGGTGCTGGTTGTGCTGCAGGTTGAGGCTGAGCCGGTTGATTACCTGCCTGCACGCTGGGTGGACTTCCGCCAACAGGAGGGACCTCTGCCGCCTCAGGAATACCCTGTTAAGTAGAATTTAAAAACTTGATCAGCAATAGATATAACCTGTAAGACGAGGTATTCGAGCAAAGCTTAAAGCCTTCCACCATACATTAATGGTTTTTGATGCAACAAAATTAGCCACAAGATAGGAACTACAGCAAATGAAAACAAAAGGCTCTATATGACTATAAGACACACACCTACTTCTCTACCATCATTTTCAGACAGTATGCACCAGCTAATTGGTTGTCAGATTAAGACCCCGTTTGGATTGGCTTAAAAAAGTACCTTTCAAAAAATAAGTAGTAGGGAGAGTCCTACTTTTGACTTTTAACTTTTTTTTAAGTCATTTTTAACTTATTTTAAGTTATCTTTAGATCTGCCAAACATTCCCAAAAGCTAAAACTGACTTAAAAAGCAGGTTTGACCAACTTTTAAGCCAATCCAAACAAGCTCTAACTCCACACGAGTGGCACAGGCAAGAATGCAGTTGAAAGACATATCAGCAGACAACCAGTGGTCCATTTTCCCATATTTAATGCCCAAGTTCAAAAATACCATCACACCCAAATTGGTAAAAGCCATCATGGCACCAGCATCCAACGAATCACCAGTACGACAGAAATTACTTTCAGAAATCAGATAATGGGAGAGGGAAAGAAGATTTAGCATCAGCAACTTGCTGATCCAGAGAGGGGAGGTTGGGGGATGAGAAAGGATGAAGGAGCCAGAGCTCGGAAGGGAAGAGAGGCCTTTACATTCTTTTGGTTGGGAGAAGAAAAGGGGATTTAGTCAAAAGGCGTGGAGAGAAAAAAGATGCATGCTTAAAAAAAGGGAACCAACATTTAAGAGTTACATTCTTCCATTAACTATATCGTAAGTCTTAATATTAAATATATTGTGTGAATCCTACATTTATTTGAATAAAGTAACATAATAATTTTTGTAAAAGACAAGTAGCATAGAAAATGGAAACATTTACAGAAATAAGTAAAATGTAGCTATTATTATTTGTGGGATTTGAATTATTCTGTCATAAAATTATAACCAATAAATTTCATATAAGTAAAAAGAAAAAGAAAAAATTGACAGACACTAGTACGTGAACAAGGACTAACAAACTTACAGAGTACAAGTATTCAACAGCCCTCTCGGGATTGTTAAAAGCTGCCCGTAAGGCTCGAACAACTGTCTCCCTATCCCACGTTCCACCACCCATGTCAAGAATCTGCTGAATTGCTCCATCAAGGTTGTTACCAGCAACCAAGCTTGAAGCAGCTTGGCCATAGACATCAGATCCCGGCCTGGCGTATAAATAGATCATTTACGTAAAGGGTCTCTTAGTATTTAGCAGAAAAGGCAAGGAGAACGTGTTTCTTGAAGAATATACTTACACAACAGTTGATGCAGGAGCAGGAGCAGGAGAAGGGGCTGGGGCTGGGGCAGGGGCAGGGGCAGGGGCAGGGGCAGAGGCTGGCGCTGGGGAGGGAGCTGCTGCAGGCCTGAAAAATAGCTAGCAATCACAAGTGAGGAGTATGAAATGCTTTCACTATTCCTATAAAGGTTAATGGAGAGATAAAATAATATAAAAAGGGTCAATGGGAGAGTAGATTAACATGCAAGGCACTAGCCAGTAGCCACAAAAAAATTGATTTAAACCAAACGCTATTTCCAAATGTTAAACCTAAACTCAGAAATCCTTCATATTTTTAATTATTTATTTATTACTCCCTCAGATTCATTTTATATGACACTCCCACTCTATTTAGTTTGTTCCTAGAAGAACAAGACCTACCTATATTTTTAAGGCATATAAATACCTGCCTATATTTAGAATCTCTCACTTTATACTTCCCATTACAAGAATGATATGCTCATATATCCACAAAAATGTCATAGACATCTAAGACAAGTGCCAACGGTAATTTTAATGTGTCACAAGTCTTTCTTAAACTTAATGCCCAGTCAAACATCATCGAAGGAGTAATTTTCACAAATATTATTTCAAAAAATTATGAGGGGAATATGAACTTCTCATCATGTTTAACCACAAACATTGTTCTGAGTCTGCATTCTTCAAACATATATACAGTCACCATCACCTAAATGTCTAAAGCTCAACGACAACATACTCAGTGTGATTCTACAAGCAATCAGATCTCAATGGACCAAAATAATATATCACGGCGTTACTGTTAAACCGGAATAATAGGGCAAACCCCCAAATTGCACGGCCAAATAAAAATGATGCAAAAGTGGAAAAAAATGTTTGAGAAAGTATGATATTGAAGAAGGAAAACTCACGATGCAACTGGGACTTGAGCAGCTGTAGATGCAGGAGTTGAACTAGGTGCTGCCGCACTTGACTGTGGTGTCTACAAGTCCAAATCAAATATCATTTTAATTGAAGTGAACTTGTTAGAGCAGGAACAGCATTATAGTAAACGCATGGGCACATGCTGCAGAAGGCGGCGGCCTTCACACTTCCTAGCAGATTATACTATTCTTGAAAACATTTTCGACAATGATGTCGACATTCACCATTACCCAAAACGGGCTAGATTCATCTTGCTCATCTAAGTCAAAAGTATCCTTTTGTACTTGTAAAATTGAACTCATTTCTGACTTATAAAACCTGAATAATCGAATTGCTCAGCCATGGGCCATGGCAAATAAAGGAGAAACTACTTTTCACTCGCATAATGCTAATTACTAAGGTGATACTTGGTCGGGGGTTTGAAGGGATTTAATCCCTACATAAAATCGAGCGTTATTTTATACAATATTTGGTTACTAGTTTTGTTTTCCTCTTAAATGTACCTACATAAGTTACGTCCAAACCTATGTACTCCCTCCGCTTCAATTTAAGAATCTTACTTTCCTTTTTAACTAGTTTAACAAAGAAAACTTCTTTCGCTATTTGGAATACCTCTAATTCCAACATTCTACATCGCTTGTTTGAAACTACAAGATTCAAAGGGCATTTTGGTACAGAACACAAATCTTGTGGTCTTTACAAGACTCAAAAGTCTCCCTTATTTTTCTTTAAAATGTTGTGCCTAATCAATCTTATTAATTTTGATAATGTAGAGGCTTCGTGCCTAGACGATCTGAGACACTTCAAATGAAACGGGGGAATTATTATGATTAATAGAATGTGGAATAAGAAGGCAAGTACTAGAAGTGCATGGATCAAAAACACTAAAATGACAAAAATAGTCTTCATGGACAATTTTTTATATTGTTAAAAAAGTAACCCTATATCTCATATTATACAGTGTATACCAATTTGTAATATGTCAAACTAAGCATTCCACAAGCAATGTGACTCCACAAGATATAGTCTCAGCATTACAATCCTTGAATAACTAATCAATGCATTACAACCCTTGCATTATTGATCCCTTCATAACCTCTTATCGAGGCGACCCAAGGGTATAGTTGGTATGACATAAAATGTTCCCATTGTTCCTTCACAAAATATTTTCAAATACAGATTTGGTTGGCCTTGGAAAATATTTGCACCAAATGGAAGAAAACAACTTATGCCTTTTAAGGCCAAAATCATTTCCTCCAACAACCATCTCAATCATGATTCATGATTCATACAAACAGGTCTAGACTACTATAATAAATACTATTGTCTATCTTTGCTAATTGAAGTGCATAGCTAAGCGCTTCCCTTATGCCGCATCTTCCACTTTTCCATACAAAAATACTTTTCATGAAAAGTATTTTACATGACCCGAAACGTCCTCTTATGTAGCTTCAAAGATAAAAATTAGCCCACAGTAAATTGTATTCACCAATTAGCTCCGGATCTGTAGCCTTTTTTAAGTAACTACTCCCACTTGGCAAATAAAGTGAACTATCTCTTTTAGTAACAGTTCACTTTTTACTACAAAAGCAACCAACTTTTACACTCAACCAAATACATAGAAAATATTTTTCAGGAATTTTTTTTTTTATACACAATGATATCTTCGTACCAATTAGACAAGAGTAAATTCAATTAACTTAGACTTTTGTCGTATATATTTTGAGCGTATAGGAATTTGGAGTTCTATTTAAGTAATTCATCTCCTTTAGAAAATAATATAGACTTCAGATTTTGTAGGTAGGAGGGAAAATAAACTACTTTCTGATGTTTGATTGCTTGGATAATATTTTTCAAAGAAAACATTCCACTAAGAGGTTAAGGAAAATAACTTTCCTTACCTGGGGACACACATCATTTTCCTTCCACAACTATTTCAGCTCTTTATTTCATGTTGTTGCTTTTTCCAAAAATATATTTTTCAAATCTTAACTTACTTTCAGGAGAATATTTTCCAAAAGAATTTCCTTCCACACCAAACACACAAGCAAGATCCTAATCACATATGAACCAAGTGTTCATCATACCGAAATTCACTAGCTTTATAATGACTTATGACCTTAAATAATTATAACAATCAGGAACTTTTTTGAGAGAGAGAAAGGAAACTTTATATTCACAAAACAGGCTCATCATCCCAAAAATGATGAGACTGATCAGCTACAAACATCATGTCTAAATATTCAAGTTACCCACTAGGAACCACTACGAATCCAGATAAGAGATTCTCCAACAGCTAAATCTGTCAACTACTAGAACTAATTTTCACAATAAAACTAAGAAAAGTAAGTCCCAAGAAGCAAGGACTACAATCTAAAATTTTCTTTTGATATGTTTTCTCAGAGACATTCTCCTACCATGGTATGTTTGATGTTTTGCTTTAGTGTGCAGTGTCTTTTTAGGATTAAACACTTAGCTCCTCATAGTATGGAACTAATCCAGATTTTGTCCCTACCTCTATCAATATGATCCCAAAGTGTTAGATTTGATCTTTACCAACCTTGGATAAAAACTCAGGACAAATGCAAGACCAACTAATTCAATTGAACAACGAAAATGCCATCACACTGCAAACCTTAGCTGTTGCTGCAGTTGACGTTCCTGAACCTCCTCCAGATGAGCTCTTACTCTGAAATTCCATACAACAGAAGATAACAAACTAAAGTTACAAATATAAATAAAAACAGATATAGTAATCCTCTGAATGTCATAAATTTATTCACTAAGTTTTGATAGGTACACCATGAGACATTTATTTAACAATCGTGATACGTGGACATGTTTACAGGTATCCATCCAAATCAGGGTAGGTATATACTGTTTTATAATTTTAGTATGTGCAGCAATTACCATCACTCAAGACCTTTATGAACCCATTTGCCCTTATATACACAATACATTTTATAAGTCCAACAAACAAACAAACAACTTAAACATATCATGGATTATAAAACACACTATTTGACAGGTGCAGTAGCTCATCCTCCAAATACATTAGTATTAGTTATTAACATTAACACATGGAATTAACAAAAAGGGGCAATCCTCAACCAAATATACTTCTCTGAGAAAAAAGGTTCAGAAAAATAAAGGACAGGTGCAGAGACTCGATGGTAGCTGTTCCAACATATGGAGTTAAAAGAGTTTGGTAGAGGAGTCTTTACATTAGACCTTTAAAAAGAATAAGAATAAACATATATACATGCATATAGAAACTACATCAAATGATTAATGACGAATCAGTATTTTTTCTATAAAAACAAATAGAAGAATTGGTGTGAATCGATTCTTTTTATCCCACTCTATTTCCCAAGAAAACCCCTGTACATGATGTCTATGTTCATGCAGATAACTATACCAATAGCACTGAAAATTAGAAGAAAAAAGATAATGATTCATATTTACCTTTGTTAGCATGATTACTATAAAGTTGCTTTCAGCAACTTTATTTTCTTCGAGTGTTGTCCCATCTTTAAGTACCTTCCCCTGGTGGATAAGCATCTGCTGGGCAGCAGGATAAACATCTGAACCCTGAACTGTTTCTATGTTCTTCTTCACATCGGCAACCTAAAAAATACAGAAAATTCAAGCCTTGAATTTAATGTACTGCATGATCTGAAGTTTCATTGTGAAAAGATTACAAGAGCTAAAATCTCTAAGATAAGTTCAATCCAGCTAAACATCCTTGTCCAAAAGTTTGGTCGAGAGAGAGCGATCAGGGTTAGTAAAAGTGAAAAATGCAAAAAAGGGGCTAGGTTCGTGAGTCTTGAAGCAAAAGCGAGATATGAAGCACATGCTTCTTTGCAGTGAAGCATACAATTTATTAAATTAGAAAGTACCACATGTATATGAATTTAGTGATATAAAATCAACTTGGAATTAAAATAACCAACTACTGCATCCAATATATAACATTGTCAATGTCAATCTAATCCTACTTCTACAAGTGGAGCTACAAAGAATGGACGATTTGTTCAGACCACTTTGCCCGCCATCATTTGATGAACACACTTCTCTAAAGCGCATGAGTTCACCCTTGAAATAGTAACACCTCGCTACACAAAGGTACATTGCTTAAGTTACCAATGGCTTTTGAGTGAGACCAAATATAATTGAGGATCATATGCCAAAGCCAGGCAATTGTATAATCTCTGATATGTCACAGCCTTGAATAATTGTGCTTATTTACTCATTCTGCTTTTGTTATCATACCTTTTGATTTAATTCTGTACCTCATTGGTGGGCCTCATAGTTACATACAAACTTGTAAATTGTTATCTACTTGCTGAATCTATATATCGAAATGTATCCTGCTAATCGCACTTGATTACTGAGAACACTTTTATGTTGAGCCTACAGATACTGTCCAAACGCCTTATTATTGGTTGGGCATCAAGAGCAACTATGGCTGACAGCTCCAGTTTGACGCCAACTATCAGAACTCTGATTTGTAACCAGCAACTGTGTTTCTTTGCAGCACCTACTCTTTTTTATCCATTTTTCTTTTCTTTTTTTTGGGAAAAAAGGGGTAACCACACTCATCAATATATCACTGAGAAGCTGAACAACTGTACCAACCCGACCTCTCGTTTTGAGTATTCTCATTCCAAGTTGTGTTTTTTTTTTTTGGATAAAAATAGTGAAGCTTCATTCCAAGTAGTGTTTGAGAATGTATTATCATTTTTGTAACTATTTATCATTTGTTGGTGTTAGAATAGAAATAAGTATTTCCTACTTAGAATAGGAATAGGAATAGGAATAAGAATAGGAATCCTAGTTGGAAAAGGATTCCAATGTAGTGTCTATAAATAGGGTCTCAATGTAATTATTTAGATACACAATTCAATAATATTTTTTGTATATATTTCTCACATGGTATCAGAGCATTGGTGAGAACAAACAAGTCACCGTATGTCTATGTCAATTTCCGGTGACTGTTGGGTCTGATTTTGTTATTCTTTTTTCTTTCTGTGAGTGTTGTGCGAAAACCAACACCACCACAAGGCTCGGAAAGCCCCCGCGACCAAACCCCAGCCAAAACCACCAGAAAACATCACCCCACGCGCTCTCACGCGCCGATCGAAGGTGGTAGTTTCCGGCGAGATCTGTCTCACGCACCGGCGCGTGAGGGCTTTTCTGATCATATTTTTTGAGATTTTTTTTGACAGTTGGGGTCATCCAGCCATTCCGACCAGGCCCATACTGTTTTTGACCAGATCTGATCGCCGGAATTAGGGTTCCGGCTATTTCCAGGCAGTTTCCGGCGACTTTTCTTCGAGATTTGAATTTTCCGACAATTAGATCTCGATAATCAAGTTTTTTTTTCATTGTTTCCAAGACAAATTTAGCATAATGTGTTTTGGGTGTGATGTTTTTGGTTCCAAAAATATGGGGATTGGAAGTTCTAGCCCTATAATCACTTCAGAACTTTTATTGGGAAGTTCAAACTATTTATCTTGGGCTTCCTCAGTTGAGCTATGGTGCAAGGGTCAAGGTGTCCAAGATCACTTAACGAACAAGGCTTATGAGGTAGATGTAAAGGCAAAGACTAGTGAGGAAGATGCAAAAGCCAATGCACAATGGGAGAAAGTAGATGCTCAATTATGTAGTCTCCTATGGCGTTCTATTGATTCCAAGTTGATGCCCTTGTTTCGCCCATTCCAGACGTGTTCTACAGTTTGGGAAAAGGCTCGTGCTTTATACACTAATGACATATCTCGATTCTATGATGTGATATCTCGATTGACCAACTTAAAGAAACAAGAATCCGATATGTCTACTTACTTGGGACAGGTACAGGCAGTCATGGAGGAATTTGACACATTGATGCCAGTTACTACGAATGTGGAAAAACAACAAGAACACAGACAAACATTGTTTCTAGTTCTTACTCTTGCTGGACTTCCTCCTGATCATGATTCTATACGTGATCAGATTTTAGCTAGCCCTACAGTTCCTACAATCGATGAATTATTCTCTCGTCTCCTTCGTCTTGCGGCACCTCCCACTCACAAGGTAGTTTCATCACCCACTGTTGACTCATTTATTCTCGCATCTCAAACCTTTGAAAAGCGTACATATCAATCTATGGAGAATCGGCGAGGGGGAGGGCGTTTTGGGAAACCTCGATCCAAGTGTAGTCATTGTCATAAGCCTGGACACACTCGTGATATATGTTATATTTTGCATGGTCCACCACCTAGTTATGATCCTATTGTTCTAAAGGAATATAATGAGTTCCTTCGAAATCGCGCAAGTAAACAGACATCTCCACCAGTAGCATATGGTGCTCAACCTAATCCAAGTAAACAGACATCTCCACCAGTAGCATATGGTGCTCAACCTAATCAATCATCCAATAATGCTCATATTGCTCAGACAGAATATGATGAGTTCCTTCAGTATCGTGCAAATAAGCAAACGTCTCCACAAGTAGTTTCAGTTGCACAACCTGATGTCTCTGTTGCGGGTAATTCTTTTGCTTGTGTGTCGCAATCTAGTACTCTTGGAACATGGGTCATGGACTCTGGGGCTTTTGATCATATCTCTGGTAATAAATCACTTTTATCCGATATTGTTTATTCACAATCTCTTCCACCTATTACTTTAGCCAATGGGATCCAAACAAAACCAAAAGGGGTTTGGAAAAGCCAAACCTCTATCTTCTGTCACCCTAGACTCTGTTCTTTATGTCCCTGGTTCTCCTTTTAATCTAGCATCTGTTAGTCGTTTGACAAAAGCCCTACATTGTAGCATAACTTTTTTCGATGATTTTTTCTCATGTAGGACCGCAGTACGGGACAGATGATTGGAACAGGACATGAATCACAAGGCCTTTACTATCTTACCTCTTCAAATTCCTTAGCAGCATGCTCCGTTACAGATTCCCCAGATCTAATTCACAAACGTTTGGGACATCCGAGTCTATCCAAACTGCAAAAGATGGTGCCTAGTTTGTCTAGTCTATCCACATTAGATTGTGAGTCGTGTCAACTTGGGAAACACACTCGTGCTACGTTTTCTCGTAGTACTGAGGGTCGTTCAGAGTCTATTTTTTTATTAGTTCATTCTGATATTTGGGGTCCTAGTAGAGTCAATTCCACCTTAGGATTTCGTTATTTTGTTAGTTTCATTGATGATTATTCAAAATGTACTTGGGTTTTCTTCATGAAAGATCGTTCTGAGTTATTTTCTGTTTTCAAAAGTTTCTTTGCTGAAATACAAAATCAGTTTGGTGTTTCTATTCGTACTTTTCGTAGTGATAATGCCTTAGAATACTTATCCTCCCAATTTCAGGAGTTTATGACTCACCAAGGCATTATTCACCAGACTACTTGTCCATACACCCCTCAACAAAATGGTGTAGCTGAAAGTAAAAATCGGCATCTTATTGAGACCGCTCGTACTCTTCTCCTTGAATCCAATGTTCCACTGCGTTTTTGGGGAGATGCAGTTCTTACGTCTTGTTATTTGATAAATAGAATGCCCTCTTCTTCTATTCAGAATCAGGTTCCCCATTCCATACTGTTTCCTCAGTCACATCTCTATCCTATCCCTCCTCGTGTCTTTGGGAGCACATGCTTTGTTCATAACTTAGCCCCAGGAAAAGATAAATTAGCTCCTCGTGCCCTCAAATGTGTCTTTCTTGGTTACTCTCGAGTTCAAAAAGGGTATCGTTGTTATTCACATGATCTTCGTCGATACCTTATGTCCGCTGATGTTACATTTTTTGAGTCTCAGCCTTACTATACATCTTCTGATCATCCTGATGTCTCTATGGTCTTACCCATACCTCAGGTTTTACCTGTGCCAACCTTTGAGGATTCTCACAGTTGGCATGGTTCAGGTTGAGACCGGAGAAGCTCAAGGTTGTTTCAGACAAATAGGGAGTTGGAAAACTGTTATGTATCAAACGATGACGATTTGCAATCCTATGTGCTAGATGTTGCTATGTTGGTAGCATATCGTGATTGATTGTCTAGCAGAAAGTCTGTGAGGGCCTATGTTTGGACTAGCGCCTATCCATACTATCGACGATGGCTTATACTTTCTGGTCTAGTAGCCCTACCTACGAGGGCCCATGAGTTGGTCTAGCGGTTTCACCACAAGGCCCTAGTGTGGATGAGATGGATGATGTTTATGCTTATCGATGTCTTACATTAGGTCAATGCTCTTACTGGTCCTTGTGGCCCACCATTTACTCCACTAAACAGATCCTACTAGCACTGATGCGGGTCCAGTCTGATCTTGTTTGTGACATTCACTGAGTTCCAGCAGAGGTGAGCCAACCACTTCTATTCATGGTGGTAACTTCATTTATGCATTATCTATATGCTCTATTTTTGATGACCATATCTCTATGCTCTATTTTCAAAAAGTACACTTATCAAAATCTAATGAAGGCTAGTTTTCCAAATTGTTCAAATTTCAAAACAAAGGGATCTCATGCAACTTCAACCCTATAAGCAAAAAACAGTTCCAAACTTCACAACTTCATCCGGATGTCATGCAATTTCAACCATAGTAGCAAAAGCTATAAAACTTCTTTTCTCCTCATAGATGAAATCATCCCTCCCATGTCAATCATTGGTTTCCAAGAGTACACCAGCTCAACAACTTAATTCCAAACCAATTGGAGTCAACTATATGAATAATCTATATATCTACCTATTCTATTATTTTCTTTTTTAAAGTAAAGTATCCATCCGTTTTATTCAACAATGTTCAGAAGTTTCATCGAAGTAGTGTTGTGAAAGGTAATTGCCTTGTCGCCAATGGCAAGAGGCGAGGTGAGGCGACCCTTCATCGCCTATTAGTTTCGTGGCAAGGCAATCTTCAAAAGGCAACACCATGGCGACAAAGGCGAGAAAGGTATCGCATTTTGTATTTTCTTAAAAGAGGCAACCAATTTAGGGTTCTAAAAGTTAAAGTAACTTTAGGGTTTTCTTTCCAAATTTGTATAGTTGCACTCTTAGACTACGACTGCAACTCCAACCAATTGACTCGACTAGACTTCTCCAGCGACCAACCATACTTTTCCGGCGACTCCAAAGTCCAACCAATACATAGTTCTTCTTTTCTTCTTCTTCTATTTCTTTTTCCTTCTTCTTCGGACTTTGAGTTACTTCTACCTCTGTTTTTTCCTAACTGTTTTGACTTTGTTTTGTTTTTTCTCATTCAAGTTCTAGACTTTTAGTATCTACTTTCTATTTTCAGTTTTTGAATTAAAATATTTGCTAATATGTTATTGCTATAGAGATTTTTATTATTTATATATGCAATTAAATATTTTAATTTTTTGGTATTAATTGGCGCCACACTTCAAAAAGGTCGCCTTGTAGCGAGGTAGACCCTTGTCGCGTTTTGTTGCCTTTCGCCGTTTAAAACACTGCATCGAAGTATATGAACTTAATCCAACCACTCCAATCCAAAACCAACTGCCCCTACATGGACCCTCTACAACCGTCCTCTCTAATATTTAGAATTCAAATAATTGTTAATTTAACCATCTACCTTCATTCTATTGCAGGCTCTTCTTTAATCCAGGCTTAAAACTAGATATACCTTGGCAAGCAGCCCAAGCTCACACAGGAAGTGTTTCCAAGAGTAAATCAACAGAGGAAGTAATTTAAACTTCCATAGATGCATCTTCCAACAACAAAATAGCCTCCTTGAAGAAACAAATAACTAAGCAACACCAACACTGTAGCACAATCTCAAAACACTTAAAAAAACAATCCACTAATTATACCCAATTAAACACAATCAGAAACTCCTCAAAACTCAAATCAAAACCAAAACTGCTTCAATTCAAACCTCAACATCGCCTAACTCGGAATCTAATCAACAAATTAGAGCAGCAACCGACTGAATCAGTCATTACTGACAGTCAGTCACATCTATGCATCACAAAGTACGTCAACAAATCAAAACAAACCTCAATTCCGAACAAAAAGGTAAAAACAAACTGAATTCAAACAACATCGCTGATATCATCAGCTCATATATAATCAAATAAAGAGTTGAAAAAAACGGACCGTATCTTCAGGTTTGACTTCGATTTCAAAGTGAGAGCCTTTGAGAGTTTTCACAAAAATCTTCATATCTGTTTTTCCGTCACCGGGAAGTATGATCGCCGACCGACGAGAGGGAGAGGACGACGGGGAGCCCAATGGGGAAGGAAGAATAATGTAGAAAGGACCGTAAGGTGCAAGTAAAGGGTTAAAAGAGTAAAGGCCTTTTGTATATCTAATTACTGAGGAGACAGAGTTACACGCGTATGATAAGTGCGTGTGATACACGCGATGAGGATTTGGGTAGTTCGGATAGCGCGTGTGGTGAAATGTGAAGGAGAAAGGTTGGGAGTAGGTGTTGAAGAGTGAAGGAAGGAAAGGATCAGCCAGCTAGATTTTTGTGATACGTACAATTTATGTTATATTTATTTATCACATGTATAATATATATAGCTCTCGATAGGATATTTTTAAAGCTATCAATTATTCGAGTATGAAACTAATAATTTGTCGTGTTTTTAATATTTCTCTCACAAGTCTAAGAATATTTCTCCAACTCTTTACAATTTTACTAAATGAACATATCATAGTTTATACCGTATTGAAATATTTCCCAAGGCATTATATTGATAAAATAAAAAATAATTATATTTACTTTTATATTCTTATAAATAAGTTATATATTTATTTTTCATTATACTTTTTCAACACATTTAATCTTTTCTTCCAATTTCAGGGTTTAAAAACATACATCGGTGTTGCTTTAGTGAATAAATGAAATTTATATAGTATGATGGAGATTTAATTGTGCTATTTTTGTAGTTGGAGATGAAATTGTGGTGATATTTATCAAACTCATCCACCCTTGTACTAGCCTCATGCACCTTCAAGTCTACCCACCTAACCTAAAATTATAAGATCAAAAATCTAAAAGGGAAAGAAAGAGTAAGAATATATATGTGAGCATGATGTTTACTTTATCTACAAAAAATATATTAATTCTTTATTTTATATGTAAATGTTATAAGTTATATATGCAGTATGTATATATGCATTATACACTATATATATATATGTATATATATATATAAATAGTATATGTGTTAGATACAGAATAGGTGTATATACATATATACATTTTTTGTCAGTACTCACCATAGCCATTGTAATCATTCACACTCATTTTTTTTTTGTATAATATGTCTATAATACATTAATCAAGGTATATTTAGTGTATAACATATACTAATATACACATATTATACAATTTTTTCCCTCTTCAAATATATACACACATGTTTCAACTCATTTTTTTGATATAGAGTATTTGAAATTGAATAGTAGCCTTCAAGTTTTGGTTTGAATGTGATAGTTAATTATCTACATGTTAATAAAGAGTATTTTCATCACACCTAAGTAAAATATTAGGATCAAGAGAGGAATTGCCATTTTTCTTTCTTCGCCAAACTTTCTTAAGAATTGTCCATGTATAACCTTCATCCCTTCAAACATTATTTAACAGGTAAGTGGAGTTATTATTTTGGAAATAAATAGAAAAAAGCCCATACACAATAAATCTTCAAGAAAATATAATGGGTTGGACCTTATTAGCTCAAAAGTTATTTGGACCGAAATGAATTGGGCTAAAACAGCTTTTAAATGAGTTGGGTTATGATCCTCATACTTTTACTCAATTTTTAAAATAGTCCACTTGATCTTGAATCGACACTCAGAAATCGAGCTTCAATCCGGACATTCAAAACATGACATTCAAGTCTCAAATCTTGTCCCTAAATCAGGAATCGAGACCAAACCTTAATCTGACACTACTAAAAAAAATGTCAAAAATGGCCCAGAAAATCCATATTTTGTTATTACACATAATGTGAATGATCCTATTAAAAGGGAATGTTTCAAGAATATATGCTCTATATAAAATACATAAATTTTCCCCTGAACTTGTCTGCACAACTCACTTTAGTACTTTAACTATACGGGTGTTTGTTTATCCCCCCTAATTTAATTTGAAATGAATTTAATTACCCCTTAAAGGGTGACGTGGCAAAATTTGTATCACCAACTTTCTATAAGCGCGTGAGACAGAAAAAAAAAACAAAAAAACTGACACATGTCATCTTTTTATTGGACGACATATTTAACAACTTATTTTACTAATTTTTAAACATTTTATTTTTCAATTAACTTCTCTTCTCTGTAGTTTATTTTTTTTCATCTTCTTCTTCCTTTCTTTTTCTTTTCTCAAAACTCTTTCTCTTTCTTATTCTTTTCATTCGGTTCAAGGTAAACATTTACTCATTTACTCCCTATTGTAACTTTTTCCACATTTTTCTTCTTCTTTTTCTTTTCTGTTTTTCTTTGACAAAAAATTTTGGTGTTTGATTCATTGACACCATTTTCGACATCAAAAAAGATTATTAGATCTATGAGTTTAAAGAGTTATAAAAAAAAAAAGAACCTGATTTCCACTAAAAAAATTCAAAGATATTGTTCGCAAAAAAATTGATTGTGGAGATTTCGTCCAATTCGTTGATAAATTAACATTTTTATGTAAATAATTTTTTTAATTTTCAAGGAAGGTGGTATGATGTAACTAAAAACTGAACTGAAATTGCAATTGAAATTTGAATTATAATTTATAGATTGAGGGGTAAATTCATCGATGGGTTTAGTTTTTGGCTCAATTTTAAATATAATCATGGTGGGTGTAGGAGTTGTTGGTTTAATGTGGAAATTGATGTCTACAAATGGAATATTGAAACTTATTTTCTTACGAAAAGAAAGAAAATTGGAAAAGTATTTTTTATTTTTTACATGAAGAGAAAATTATTATATAATGGAAGAAGAAAAGTTGAAGAAAATTTCACTGTAAAAAGGAGAGTTGTTGTTGAGAAGGTGACAAACATTGGGGAAGACAATTAGTGGTGAAAAAAAAACAATTATTATGAAGATTTAAGTAATTAATTAGAAATTTAGTTAATATACACGTGAACGAATAAAAACGTCTGTGACTCAACAACACACAGCCTTCAATTGGGCTAGTGATGGGAGAGTTGAAAAAAAACACTTAAAAGATGTTAAGGGGGGTATTTAAACACTCGTATAGTTAAAGTGCTAAAGTAAGTTATGCGGACAAGTTCAGAGGAATTTTATGTCTTTTCCCTAAAATATTACTCTATGTAACTCAATATACACTATGCAAATTATCATACATAATAGTGTTTATTCACAAATACAAATATGAGCTAAATCCAATTTGATGTTATATCATATTTGTTATTTAGTTATATGGCATATATATTTTCTCTTAATAGAGACATAAATCTTAATTTTCCCCTATTTTTAAATGCCTAAACATGTAATAACTACACTTTTAAAGAAGGGTAAAGAGTCAAATATGCCCCTAAACTATTTGAAAAGGTCTAGATATACCCTCCGTTTAAAGTTTGGCTCACTCATGCCCTCGCCGTCCAACTTTTGGTCTAAATATGCCCTTATGGGCGTTAGTTGGTCTGCTGGACATATCCAGCTTATTTTCCATTTCTTTAAATGTCACATGCAATTGTCATGTCATTTTGACTTTACCACATGACATTTATATGAAAATGGAAAGGGATCAATTATGCCCCTAAAAAATTCGAACCCATAAACACCTAATTCGACCCATAAATCAACCCCCCCCCCCTGTCCTTTAAATAAACTACCCGACCCGTTTTCAACAATTTTGTTTAAATTTTTATTTTTTTCGGTAAATCCCGAAAATTAGCAATTGATTGATAAAAAATAGGAAAAAATATGAAAAAATATATATAATTAACGCCAAAAATTCACAAATAAATATGGTAACCTTAAATTCAACAATTTCAATAAAAAAAAAATTCGGTAAATCCCAAAAATGAGTAATTGATTAATAAAAAATATGAAAAAAATATAAAATTAACGCCAAAAAATCACAAATAAATATAGTAACCTTAAATTCAAAAATTTCAACAATTTTTTTTAATTTTTATTTTTTAAAATAAACTACTCATTTTCGAAATTTGCCGAAAAAAATAAAAATTAAAAAAAAATGTTGAATTTTTTAATTTAAGGTTACTATATTATTATTATTTTGATTTTTTGGCATTAATTTTATTATTTTTTTCATATTTTTTATTAATCAATTACTCATTTTCGGGATTTACCGAAAAAAAATAAAAATTTTAAAAAATTGTTGAAATTGTTGAATTTAAGGTTACAATATTTATTTGTGAATTTTTGGCGTTAATTTTATATTTTTTTCATATTTTTTCTATTTTTTATTAATCAATTACTAATATTCGGGATTTATCGAAAAATAAAAATTTAAACAAAATTGTTGACAACAAGTCGGGTAGTTTATTTAAAAGGGGGGGGGGGGTTGATTTATTTGTCGGATTAGGTGTTTATGGGTTCGAATTTTTTAGGGGTATAATTGATCCCTTTCCATTTTCATATAAATGTCATGTGGTAAAGTCAAAATGACATGGCAATTCCATGTGGCATTTAAAGAAATGGAAAATGAGTTAGATACGTTCAGCAGACCAACTAACGCCCATAAGGGCAAATTTAGACCAAAAGTTGGACAGCGAGGGCATGAGTGAGCCAAACTTTAAACGGAGGGTATTGTAGATATTGAAATTTTGTGGGACTCTACAAGATGTGCTCAATTCGAGTTGAGACTCTACTAATTGTGTTCAACTCAAATTAGGGTTCTTGGAGGTTACTCAACCCTAAACCCTAGTTTATGCCTATATAAAAGGTATTAGATTCTCTTAAAAGACATCTCAAATATCCCATAAACTATGGATATTTTTAAAGATCAAGATCTCGAATATTCCATAAATTCATGGAATATTCATATAGAGGTCTCTAATCATGGATAAATCTTAGGACAGTAAAATCAAGGGAGGAACAGAATTGTACCCGTAATCTTGATGAATAAAATTATGTAATTTCTTCATATTTTTTGTGATTGTAATTTATATTCTATCACTTTAAAATTTGTTGCAAACAAATTGGCACGCCCAGTGGGACCAAATCTGCCCTTCATCTCTTCTCCCTTAAATCAAATCTGAAAATCTGAAGCTGCAAAGGTGGAAGAATGAGTACTTCAAGCCTCGTCTTTGAGTTTCATCAAGTCTACACTCTGACAAGCCTTGAAGCAGGGGGCATTTGTAGACATTTAAATTTTGTGGTACTCTACAAGATGTGTTCAATTCGAGTTGAGACTCTACTAATTGTGTTCAACTCAAATTAGGATTCTTTGAGGTTATTCAACCCTAAACCCTAGTTTATGTCTATATAAAGGGTATTAGACTCTCTTTAAAGACATCTCAAAAATTTCATAAAGAGATCAAGACCTCGATATATTCCACAAAAGACATGGAATATTCATATATATGTCAAATATAAATCATCCTAGTTCGAGAAATATGTCACTAACGGCCCTCGAATCATGGATAAATCTTAAGAGAGGAGAATAAGGGAGGAACATAATTGTACCCGCTATCTAGATGAATAAAATTATGTTTCTTCAGCTTTTATTTTTGTGGTTTATTTATTTTCCATATGTTTAAAATTTGTTGCAAACAGGTATATTTAGACCTTTTCGAATAGTTTAGGGGAATATTTGACCCTTTACCTTTAAAGAATGATCAAGAAGGGATCCCTAACTTCTAAAATATGGTTAGTTAGTTAGTTATAATGCTTGTAATTGAAAGCTTAACTTGATACATATATTCAGGTAAAGAGACCATCAAATCTGGTAATGTTAGATTTCTTCTTAGTTTTCATATTTGGTACTTATTTTAGGACTTCAACGAAATTGAAGTTGTACTCACATAACATAAAAATAAATTAAAAATAATATCGTTTTGTTTGACTTGATCATTGTGCCAAGTGTTGGTGGTGTCTTGAGTAGCTCTTAGTTTTGTTTGCCAACCCCATGACTTATTTCATCTTCGAATACTCATTTTCACACATATGCACAGAGAGTCGGTCAAAAACTCCATTTTTTTTAGAAAGAAGGGCCTTTGACATAAGGTTCCTCCTATGAATCTATAAACCTAAGGAATAGAGATCGGCATCGGGAAGCCTATTCCTCGAGCTATTTAGTACTTGAATATGTTTGCCGTGAAGAAAAACTACTTTTCTATTCGCTTACCTGTGCGCCTCTACTTATACGGAACTAAAGAAGGGGTGAGGGCAGAAGAAAGGATTTTCAATTCAAAATATCCGCTCTATTATATTTTAATATCCAAAATTTTAAAAAATCAAAATCAAACCAATAACCCTATAATTTATTTTACATTAAAAAAATTTACCCGATAACAATGTATCAATAGTTTTTTTTCAATTTAATTTGTCAATCGGTTCGATTTTTAGACGAGTCCACCCAGACTCAAAGTACAATATCCAATCATAAATATAATATTCCACGATATTGCTAACTTCTCTTTTGCTTCAAAAATTAATATCCAGAAATTTGTATACTCTGTTCTTGCTTTTTAATATTTAAATTAAATAATAATAATATTAATAATAATTAAAAAGAAGATTAAAACAAAAAAAGATTTACATTTCCTAGTTTGCCGGTAACGTCTCGGGTCTCCATAGAAAATCGGGTGACCCGAAACCAAGATCCGAATGATCAAACAATCCATCTATTGCTACGTATTCACAAACACCAGCGTTATAATCCACCAAATCAGCGATCCCCAATTCGAACGAATCGTAATTCGGAATTCTCTCTTCCAGTTCCCATATTGAATCTGATGAAATTCCGATCAATTCGATTACCGATTCACTTCCCACCGCCGTTGCCGGAGGAAGTCCGAGTTCATCATCCGACGCTTCCAGAAGGTAACCTAACTCCGGCTGAGACTCATCAGAATCCGCCGTCAAATCCACCACTTCCGTCTCCATCACCTTCGCCGGTGACGGAGAAGCTGTAATTTCTTCTTCGAAGCTCTTCATGAATGAATCAAAATCATGACTCGTGGTGCAAAACTCGGAGTTATTATCGTCATCGGTGAGATCGTATAACAGATTCTCCCTGAGTTTCTTCACTTCCGGTGAGTTATATTCTGATTCTTCCGAGTCAACTCGGACTCTCTTTTTTCTACTCATGCTCTCCATAGAAATTTGCAGAATGCGTGTAATACACGTGCTTAGATTTGAGAATTGAAAAGTTTGAGTGAGGAGAGAAGGAAGATAAGGGTTGGTTTATATAGTGGAGACAAAGAGGAGAGAGAAAGTGGAGTAAATGATGTGATGTCGGCGCGTGGGTGGGAATTATTTGTGGGGGCAGTTATGGTCGTCTCTAGATTTTTATTTTTTAAAATTAAAAAAAATAAAAATATTGTTTTTATTTAATTAATTTAACGTTATGTTCAAACGTGTTGATGGTGTGTTTTCGAAGATTTATTATTTTTTGTAAAGTGGTGGGGTGGGGGATTTGAGAATAGTAATAATATTCCGTGATTAGCTGGTTTTGATTTCAGACTTGGAGTACGGAAAGTATCGTAGAAGGGGTCTACATGGGTTAGTCAATTAACGGGCTCGTTTGGTAACTGATAAGAATTACGTGTATAAAGTAATATAGGGATTATCTTTCATGTCATAGGTTTCAGTTCGAAATTACTTGCTAGCAAAAGTAAGGGATTTGTCTTCTGAACCAAGCTCGTAGCGCTGAATTTGTCAAGTGCGAGTTATCTCTCCGGTGTGGTTTGCAAATTATTGTATAAGAGTGGAAATTTTACCTTGTGTACACGCAAAGATTAGAAAATTTATATTTATATTAGTTATTTTTGTATTAGTTACTTATAAATGCATTAGTTATTTCACCTTCTATCACAAGTAAAACAATACATGAATTTTCTCATAATGTACTACATTAGTTATGCAAATTTCTAAATAGCAAATAAAATTTATACATGAATAATTTACCTCATAATTAGCTATTGAGCGTATATTACTTAATACTTATATAACTCACCTCTAAGTCAGATATCAAACAATTCCTAAAGGCTAAAAATATGGTTGAATGGGCTATAACTTATGACTTATCAGTCAAAAGTCGTAATTTAAAATTTTAATTCATGATTTTGACTTATTATTGTTATTTTATTTTAATTTAAAATTAAATGCTATCATACTTCTTTAAAAACTATTAGAGTATAACTTTACGATACCTAAAGTAAAAGTAATCCAAACAAGTTCTATATTGTTCAAGATATATTTTAACGCTTATTCCTATTTTTAAAAGGCCATATGTTAGAAAAGATTTTATTGAATAAAAGTTTTATTAATTGGTAAAATTATTGTCATTAATTAAGAGCTTATAAGTTTCAAAACAAATCTAACTTGGTTTGATAATGGCAGTCAGATTCGACGATAAGTCTGAATCATTTTGCATAGTTTGACCCTTATTGTTGTTATTGAAGTGCAATGTAAATAAATAGAAAAATATAGATAATGGAAATTCATAAAATTGATTATATCTTGTTTAAAATTAAGATGTAATTATAATATTATTTGTATCTGGACATATATTCTCATTGGAATGATTCAACTCATTTTTCTTTTTCATTTTTAGTGAGTCATTCATATAGGTATTATTTCGTGATGAATTTGTATCGTAACAATCTTTAAAACACTAAATTATAAATTCATCTCTCATATTAATGTCGACTGAATTTAATGAATATTTGGTACAAATACATGAGAAAATTAGGAGGCTATTGTCAGTATACAACATATCTGTAAAATTTTACAAGTGTAGTTCAAATGTCAGTACAATGTATCTAATAAAATTTCACATCTACTATTGGTAACTTTATGTACAAGTGAAATTTCATACTTAAAGTACTAATCAATTATTTTAGGCTTAAGTCATTTGGAGTTTCTTAAAGTTATCTGCATATTTCATTTAGACATTTTAACTATGACTATTACCTATTGAACACCTAAATTGTTCAAAAAATATACCTATTAAATACAAAATATTGATGTGGCAAAAGAAGTGTTTTTCACTTTCGCTAAGCGCGTGAAACAATCTTAAATAATACTCCTATTTTATTTTTACTTTTTTCAAAAAAACTTAATATTTTTTCTTCTTTGACTGCCACTTGGCATTTAATTATTTAATTTCTTCAAAAATAATTTTAAAAGTAATACTAATTCTTAAATAAAAAAAAAAAAAAAGCCCCCACCCCACCCCCTTTAAGTCGTCTTCTTCACGAAGACAACACTTCATTGTTTTTTTTTCTTTTCTTTTCTTTTTCTATTCTATTTCTTTTCAATATTTATTAAAAAATAAAAATTGAATCAGCTAATTGAATTTGGAGGGAAAAAAAAAGAGCATGAAAAAAGTTAGCCGATCGACGTCCATTTCGATCACCTTCGAACAAATATTATCATTCATATTAAAATGTAAATCCACTAAACTTATCAAAAATAATATCAAATTGATTTGATAAAATTAATTTAGGTCCTCTCGATTTCTCTTTGCTATCGATTTCAAGACTTGACAGACTCACTTTCTTCATCACTCTTATATTAGTCTCTTTGAATATCTCTTTTTCACGTATTAGGAATAAAAAATAATTATATAAGCAATTAGCAAAGAAATTGAATTTTATCGTTTGAGAAAGAAAATCTTGCTTGAAAGAAGATGAAAAGGGGGCTGGGCAGAATTGGGCTTCTCATTTATTTATTTTTATAAAAAAAATAGATGAAAAATATATTTGAAATGATTTTCATTCTTTTTAACATAAAATTCTTTTTCTCTATAATTATTGGGCCCAACGCCACATGTTATCTTATAATTTCTCATTTTGCCACATCAATATTACACACTTTATTTTTTTTACTTATTATTGAAAAATGTCTAATAGGAACAAGTTTTGAATAGATAAAAGTGTTCAATAGGTACTAGTCCTAGTTGAGGTGTCTAAATAAATTATATGGACAACTTTAAGGGATCGCAGATGACTTAAGCCATTATTTTACCTTCTCTTTCTCTTGTACAACTAATAAACAACCACCATTACCATATTTGGTAATGTTAGCTCAATTTGGCACCTGCTAGTTTAGATTTTTTTGGGTAACTTGGTAGAGTTGGAAATTTTAATAAGGAATTTAGAAAACATAGAAGATGTGTAACTTCAATTCAGACTTGTGATCTAAAACAAATTTGTTTCACATTTATCACTTTACTAGAATTTATATTAAGAAGGTTTAATAATTTATATATATGAAATTACTTGTTATGTTATGTAATAATATAATAAAAATATAAGACGATAAAAGATACGACCAAAGAAGTTGAGGGAGAGAGATATTTTATTGTTATTCAAACTGAGGTACAAATGAACTAATTTACCTTTCTATCTTAAGATTTTTCAAGAAGTTACTAGTAATTAGTTGCTTGCTTGAAAGTTACTTGCAAGTTGTCTGCTTGATTGTTAGTCTGAGAAAATTGTTACAGGATTTTTTATGAAATTGCTTGTAAACTATCTGTTTGATTGCAAGTATGAGAAAACTATTGCAAGACTTTTCATAAGTTGTTTGCAAGATGTCTCTTTGAAGTACGTTCAAGTTGTCCTAGAAAATTATTACAAAGTTTTTCAGAAAATTATTTGCAAAGTTTTCCAAAAAGTTGTTTGCAAGCTTCTTCAAGAAACTATAGGAATATTTAAATATACATACACAAATTACTTAATTATTTCAATTTGTACAGTATAATACGTAGACAATTTATGATTGTATTTTAATTAACTAAATTTAGCATATTTTTGGTTAAATTATTCTGTAATCTATATGTCGTTTTCTTACCTAATAGAGCTGACATAAAACATTTCTTAAAGTCAAATTTATTCATCTCTTGCTAATTAAGGTTGTTGACAAAAAAAAAATTAGGTTCCATTAGATTTGCCCAATTTTTTATAAATAAATTTCATGTATTAGCGCAAATCTAGCGTTTATTCAACATGCTAGACAAAAACTTCCCAATGCTAAGATATATATGTCTTTAAAAATTATCTAACTATACATAATAATACGTTTACCGGTTCAAAGATTTTTTTTTTAATTATTATTTTGACAAAATTGCGTTTAACTTAATTTTCGTGCATTCCACTTTTTTTTTTTCAAAAAAGAAATGTAAATATCAAACCAGATTACGGAAAGTGATTTCTAAATAGAAAAAAAAGAATATTTTTGCATAAAATCGTGGGGAAAGCATTATAATAGAATTTTCGTTTAATTTAATTTTCGTGCAATCCACTTTTCCATAAATAGTGAACAATGGACATTTCTTCTACTTTACCTAAATTAAATAACATAAAAGTAAAGGGATACTATATACTCCTTTCGTCCATTTTTAACTTGACATATTTTTAAGAAATAATAAATAAAATAATAATTTTATTATATTTTTCATGATTATTATAAGTCATTTAAATATTAAATAAATAGTATTTAACAACAAAAATAAAATTGGTATAAGATAATAAATTATTTTGATTTTCCAATTTAAATGGATAAAAATGAACATTCATTTTTAATATAGTGCACAAGTAAAAATAACATTAAAATTTTCTCGAAAGATGTATCAAATATAGAATAAAGTAATACAAAGTGAAGAAAATATGTATTTTCCTTGAAAGCAAAATACTTGGAAATTTCCAAAATCTAAAAGGGAATATTTGCATAAATTGGTGGGAAAAAACAAGATCTAAGATCTTTTGTATTATTCTTTGTGGCCTAGTTCGGCAAGATATGGACCAAAACTCCAAATTCTAAACGCAACTCACAAGAGAATTTTGGGTATGAAAATTACTAAAGGGTGTGGTGCAGTGGATGACGATGTTTCTCTCTTAATTAAATATTTCTGATTTGAGCCCGGTATATGCAAATATCTTGGTAGGGAGTGTTTTCTCTCGAATAGGGTCATAACTGTGTGAATTCGAATTAATGAGGCTCCGATTCAATATAGATATCAAACACTAGATAAAAAAAAAATGGGTATGAAAAACTTCTTTCAAAGGACAAAACATTAGGAATTGTAAGAACGGACAACTTGGACAATGTTTGATAAAGTTGGAGTGGAAAAAGTTTTAAAAAAAATTGTAATATGAGCCATAAGGAATACAAAATTCCAAAAAAAGTGAAAATTATCATGCCCAAATTTATATTAAGGAAATAAATATAAAAATGTCATTTACATATATTTTTATTAGGTAAACAATATATAATCAGTGTATATTATCATATCAATTCATTACTTAATGTAATAAGTTACTATAATTTGAT